GTTGAAATCTTTGCTTTTTTTTACATTTATTTTGTTAATTCTAACATATTTTCTTCGAAAAGTGTTGATTTTTGGACTACAGGACTACAACCACTAAGACTACAATCGTAAATTCATTCTGACCAATCAAAATCATCATTGTCAACGTGCTAATGTAACTTTTACAAACGTGGTATTGTAACTTCCGTAAGTCTAACATTCAGTCGATTTCATCTGCTGTGACGTTATTTCCAGAGTCGATCTGGTACCGACACCGGCATGGCTTATCTAAAAGATTGCTTTCTTTCCTTTTTTTTTCAAAGCAATAATCGCGGGTCTCCCTCCTGCTAAGCGACACGCGGAAAACGTGTATGTGAAACTTTGCGCTTGTACATGTGTCGTGCACAGGCAAGCCAGCAACTTTTAATCTCCGTAGCTCAAACAAGGACCAATCAGCGAAGGTTTCATTGACTGACCAATATGTGGATAGGATGCTTTTCAGTACATCTCTGGGCAAACATGAAGGAAAAGTTATCAATTGTTGTGTGAGATTTCCCAGAGCATTAACACATTTTTTACAAAAGAATATAGAGATTTTTACAAAAAGGCAGCAGCATGGTGAGTTGGTTGTTGGTGTGGTTTCATATTCATTGTTTCTTTTAATGGTTTGTAATATGGGATAAACATATTCACTAATTTTTTATATAGTAAAGTCAGATGTAAGACTTCACTTTAACTCTAGCAAAACCTTGTGAGGCTTCATATCTACCACTTTTTCAACTCTGAACAGCTGTAATAACCCAACATTCCCTCCAATCTGACAGCCAATCAAAACAACGGAAGACTTGCTATTTGCCCAGGAACAGAACAGGTTGCTTGCTTTTGCCACTGCCACGTCACCTCCCGTGTGTCAGGTTATCAAAGCAATAGCGAAAAGTTTCACTTAATGCAGTCGTTTGTTGCCTCTGTGTGTCGAGTCCATAAGTCATACTCTAGGGGGAAAGCTCCAGTGCACCATTTCCAGGAACTAGAAGTGAGCCACATCACTGCTGAGTTTCAGACGGCACGTTTTGGAGTCTTATTTCCTGATTTTTGGATATCATGACCGGATTAGATAACAGCAACGTGGCTACCACTAACTTGCAAAACTGATGTTTTATCTCCACAAATAACACAAATTTGAAGGAGTTCTGCTGTGTGGTGGAGTTGCTAATGCTAACAGTTAGCTTCTACTAGCCAAGCCATTTTTTGCCCTTTCCTGGACGTTAAAACCAACAACCTTCCCTGTCACGAGTCATGGTGGGTGGGTCCATGAATGTTGTGTCAGTTTGACGTAGATCTGTCAGGCTTTTCAAATCCTATTTTCCATCAGAAGCTAATGCAGAAGATAGGTGTAAATACCATTTCCATGTTCAGCCTGCAAGAAAAACTCAGACTGACCAATTATCATCAAAAATAACAGGGCTTTACCTGCGTTCAAATTTGCGTGGCGGCCGACTCCAGCTAATTTTGTGCCGTCCCAGCCTGATTTCACTCTGCCCCCAGCTATATGGATGTTATTGTAACTGCAGTTGCAGCATTGCGCCACTACAGGGGCGCTGTATCAGCAGCGGTGCACTGAAACGCGCTAAAACCACTGCAGAAAATGATCAAAAATAGCTTTTCTCGCTAGTTGGTACATATCTATGGTTGGTGCTACTGACGTCCTGATTTTCCCCCAGGCACTTCTTCCCTATCAGAGCAGGGGTGTACAGTGCAACGTAAAACATTGTGTGTGTCTGTCTATTTTTCAATGTAGCGCTGGTGCAACATCTTTGAATTACTATTTACTGCAGGACGTTATTGAACAAAAGTAAGAAAATGCTTTTTACAGGTGCACAGTGTGATAATCTGGATGCAGTGGAGGAAAATAAAGGAACCAGCAAAGGCACAAAGGCAGAACCGGTCCAAAGTTTGGGATCAAAAGTGCAGCTACATGCAGATTGGCTAATGCTAAAGCTAATGGGTAGCAGTCGCACGATCAAGTGGATATATGATGATCGTAAAACAAAGAAAGACTAAACTCAACAAGTGGATGAAAGGTCCCCACCATCCTGTTTATTCTGCATCCTGCAGCGCTATGGACCAGAACCGTTGCAGATACGAGTTACACAGGAGCAGGATGTAGTGCAAGCCATTGTAGAATATAATTAACAAACGCTTCTATCTTTGAACATAATTTAAATTGGATTATTGCCAACCCGTACATAATAGACATGCTACCATTACATTGTTAGCAGCAGAAAATACAAGTTATTATCATTTCCAATACAAATGCATGTTAATGAAATGCATTATTTTTTACTGGATATATTTATGTGTTATTTTGACTAAGATGAGTGTTATTAAAACAAACCTAAAATGTTACTGAAATGTAGGTCAAGTATTAAAAAATATTTCAACTATAAATATCAGATGGGAAAATGGGAACTAAACACCAATCTAATGCATATTATTGAGCCTTTTATAATAAGAGTCTGTTACTTCAGCCTAAAAATGTTGTTTTATTTCATATTTTGAGCAGCAAACCAGTTTTGTTTCACTTGAGATGTTGTCAAATGGAATATTCTATTAATCAACAGAAGCTTAGATTAGATCACTTAACAAAAATATATTTGCCTTTAAAAAAGTGAGGCAGTTGAATGCACAGAGTATGCATGTGCTGGCACATGGTCAGGATGGTACCACCTCTGCCTCAATTTGAGCCAGGAAAAGCCCTGAATAAGATTTTAAAAATGTTTTTTTTAATGTTCCACACCATTAAAATGTTCTTCATCTTGCTCTTGGCTGTTCTAACATAAAAGGGAATTCCTGTCCTGTCCAAACAGAATACACACAACTTTGTTGCATTGCCACTAGATTAGAGAATAAATATAAAATGTTGATTGCTGTAAATAAAACTGGATTGTCAACTTTTCCTTCTTAATATTTAGATGACAGAGAAGTTTAGGCCAATGCCAACAAGATACAGGGAGGGAAAAGTGTCTGTCAACTATGACTGCAAATAAACCCTTATAGGAAATTTAGAAAAGTGTTTCGATCTTACCATGCCTATCGAAAACATTCCAGGGCTGGCTCACATGGCGTGATGACTCTCTCTTTCCCCCCTTAATAAAGGCTGGCAAACTGGGTCTCCTTTGGTCCCCTGCAAACTTCCCCGGCTGCTGCCCCATAAGGCCAGGGTGCCAGGCTGCAGCCGGGACTCTCCAAGCCAGTATCACTTGCTCACCCTCCAGCAAATGGGCTCCGGGCAGGAAAAAGTTCAGGAGAAATCAGGAGGCCTGTTCCCCGACTTGGACAGTCCCCACTAAAAAATGGGTGATTCAAGTCTGTTGGACGGATCTCTCCAGGATGTCCCTGTGTATCATGCATTTATAGATTCTGGGCCCTTCAGATGACAAGATGTTTGACAGGAGTCTAGGGGAAAAATAATGGATGACTCAATGATTAATTCAAAACGATTAAAACCCACAAATTATTCAAGCAATTGACATTCAAAATCATTCTCCACGGGCTAGTCAAGCATCCCTCATATATTGAACTGTAGTTTTATCTGCTGTAGTGAAACACCATCCTTCAAAAATGTATTCATATTTTGACAATTAAATGATTCTGTGTACAAATGAGTGTAAAATTATAAAAACCAACAAAGCTGTTCTATAAGTATTCGATTTGATGGGTTCCACTTCCAATATTGTTTTTAGACATGTCTGAACAGGAAAGGGATCACTTGGTACACGTGTATTGATTTACTGTGACTATTCAAACAAGAGTCAACCCAATAAAAACAATGCCAGCACAATTCCATCCACAGCATAAGAGTCACTGACAAAGTCAAGGATCACCTAAATCATGGGTGTTTCCTTCTCGTTCTATTAGTCAATTATCATCATTTTTATCACACAGACAACTTTAAAAACATTACCACACTCTGGTTATATTATTTCTATACTGATCTGAAGTAAATCGGTGAGATTTTTTATTAAAAAGATTTATATCCCAAGGAAGGGATTAATCAGGGGGCTAGATTTTATTTTCCGAAGTCAGAAATGTCAGTAACTAGCCCTGCTGTTAAAAGGACAGATTTTTAACACTCGTTTAACTTGAATTCTTATAAGAGTGTAAAAAGACGAAAAAGCAAACTTACACGAGCAGAAAAACTGCGAAATATCTGGTTAGCCGGCGACCTCCAGCTAACGTTGAAGATAGCCATGAAGCTAACCGACGTCTGCTGGTGGTATGCACATCGGCTCGAGTCAACAGTTGGCTCGCGCTGGTTCTCCGCTAATATCCTCGGACAATTGTACCAAAATGTCTCCCAAAAAGCACATGGAAAACATATTTTCCCATGTTGCAACCAATCTCAACAAAAATCACAAGTTTCTTTTAAACTTCCGCGTCCACTTTTCCCATCTTTTGGAGCGTCTCCCCCTCTGGAAGTCGAACTAGACTTTAACCAAGAAGACGAAGAGAAGTTGAGGGAACTCTTCCGGGCCGGACACAAACGCCTCCTTTTGCAAATTATTTCTTCTGTTTACAGCTTCTGAACTCTTCTTTGCGCTGTCCTCTATTTGCGTATTTATTCATCGCTTTCACGTGAAAAGCGAAGTAAACTTTGGCCAAGTAGCAGCAGCACTGTCGCCGAGGCCACCATACTTCCATACGCAAGGTGGTTTACAGAAAAATGTGGGTGGAGCCACGTATGACGTAGAGAGTGCGTGGGCTAGTGCGGATGAGGGGAGAACGAGAACAGGGCAGAAGTAAAAAGCTCGACTTCTTGTTGACACAGAGGAGAAAATGCTGCAGTAACAGTCCCAAAATCTGCAGCTCCGGACACCCCTGAGGATGCAAAGCCTTCTACAATGAAAAGCTCAAACATCAAAGATAGTTGCAATAAAACGTTCAGGTTTGCACTAATGAACTAGTGTTTGCCCATCTTTATTCTTCCACAGAAAGAACCAAGCTGAATTAGAACACAAGTATAGAAATATTAAAACATTTATTTTAAATGTGTGAAAGTTTTTTAATAGATACATATGGAAAGTATTACAATAACTTCAAATGTCTTTTTAGATGCAGGGTTTAAGGGAAATTACATAATGACCCTTAAATTCATCTAGAAAAAAAACAAAAACAAAGATCTGGGCACCTTATTATCACAAATAGAACATGTAGGGGAAACATAGCCAGGTTGGTCTTTAGGTATGTGTTCTAGTTGCATAGATGCTTGAGCTCTTTAACCTTCCTGTGCTAACAGCTTCTGCTGTGTCAACATGACAATCTCCTCCATCACTTCTGGTTTCAGGATGTCCTTGACCTATAAAGAGAAAATAAAATTTTTTACCACTTTTTTGTACAAATACAGAAATTATATCTGGTGACTGATTTGTTAAAAGTACTCAAATTTCATAGTTTGCAATGAAAAGTGCTCAACTGTAGCAAATTTGGTCTCACAGCCACCAGATGGTGCAATATATAAGGGAAAGGTCTACTTTGCTCACTCAAATTTTTTTTTTAATCTCATTCATTTTGATTTGTAACTACAGTTTAAAACAAAACACACAGTTGCAGTTAAATACAAGAGCATCACGTACAACATTGGTAACTCCTACCTGGTGCTGGAGTGATGATTCGTAGCAGTAGAGAACACTTGTGTCATACAAAAGCACTTTTTGTGCGGCCAAGGCCAGAAGACAATTTCTCAAACGTGAAATCACCTCTCGATCTGGCAAGCTTACTGGCTGAAGACAAGACAGACACACAAAAACAAATTCTTTACAAGTGTCGGAAACGTAATACAGTCATGGTTAAAAGCTCCACCGGCTGTATGTTTTACTATAATCCTGTTTTTATAAATGAATAAATATAACTTGGTGTATTACAATGTTGTGTTATATCTGCACATAAGAAAAAGCTAAAATAAGTGTTGTGTTCTTTTAATCCAAGTAAAATGAGGATTCAATTAAATTGATAGGGCTGTAGCGAAGCCTCGACGAAGTCGACGGCTCGATTCTAAAAATTTGTCGACGTCAGATCCGGAAGTCGACGCACCGCGCCCACTTGTTGCATCCCCAGGAGTTTGTAAATAGAGGAGGAATCTGCCTGTTTTTCCTCTAGTTCACCCTCTTCTCCGCCTTCACTAACATCTCCGCCAAATACCGAAGACCCGGAACAACGTCCGTCCACTACTAGATTATTTTCCTGTTTTGCCCCTTCGTCTCCCGGCAACGGACAACAACTTCCGGGGTCAGATGCGCTGCTTCGTGTCTACCGCAGATGTAGAAAATCACCGGGAGCGCTTCTCCCTTCATTAAGGAGCTTCTTTCAGACATGAGGAGAGCTGTTTTGGTGGTAGCAGTCTCTCCTCCATGCTGGTCTGTTTGCTGCCGGGTGTTTTTGGTTTATTTAAACTTGGTAACTTGAACTTAATGTTGGTAAAGCTACTGTTAGCATCTTCGCTAACAGCTTCTTGCGTTGGGATAAGCCGTTACGTTTTGGTTTAGAGTTCATCTTTTTTGTGGTGTAGATCTCCCTTTCATTACATTTAGAGTGTTGTGGGTTTTCGGTTTAGTGTAAAATATCACCTGAGTTTGGTTTAACCCGTAAGACCACTCGCCTCACGCACATAAGTGACCAAAACAAAGCAGCATGGAGACACTCCATCTTCTACCACCTCTCAGGCAGCAGCCTGCACTCCCAAGTTCTACACGTCACCAGAACATAACCAACCAACACAATAAAAGCAGTGTTATACAAAATGGAAGGCCTGTAGTGTTTATTCTCTTACAGTAAGAATTTATCAATTTTTTGAGGAATTTATTTGAGATTTTCTGGTTTTTGTTAATTGTGCAATAGAAAAATAATCATTAGATTAATTTTCTAAATAGTCATTAGAATAGTCGACTATTCGATAAAATAATCGTCAGAATAATCGTTTTAAAAATAATCGTTTACCCCCAGCCCTATAAATTGACCAATCATATTGACCCTTTGCACTGACGTCACCTAATCACGTGGGTCCATGGTGGACGGCAAAAGCATGTAAACAGCGAGCGACACGAGTACTAAACAAAGGGAAAATTAGAGCCTGAAATAGTTTTTGCCATCAAAACAAAAATTAAACTCTTCCAGCATTCCTTCAACTAGTTCTTGCCCAGTTCCATTATCAGAAGTAGCGCATCTAGCGGGGGCTCATAGAGAGCGGTATGTTAACTAGCTTACCAACGTTAGCTTACGTTCTCTCTGCAGCTGTTCACCGATGTAAACATGTTGCTGACTTTGCCTAAATCCACCCCTCTGGATTTATAACTTTATGTTGTAAACAGCGTTTCACTTCACACCAAAGCAGATTTTTAAAAAGTCTGGATCTCTACCAGCTCCTGTTGCTGGTGGTGTTACCGGGTTCAGCTGCTGCTCTCACATCGGAATGAGATCTCTGAACGCTGAAGCTCATATAAATAAATAAATAACGTAATTTTAACACACGTAATCATACATCGGAGCTTTAATATTGTTAATAATTGTCTCGCTTTATACAACAGTGGATGGCGCGCGTCATCCGGGGTGAAATACCCATCCATCAGGATTATCAATAACTTGTATGAACACATCACCTTTATCCCTGTCCCTGTCTTCCTCGTGAAATAAATGAACATTAATCTTACCCGGTAAAAACATGTTCGCTGCAAATCTGAGGGCTACTTCGCTTAATTGATCACTGCAGTTCGTCTCCGTCCTCAGTCTCCCATCAAATTTATTAAAAAGAAAAAACGAGTTGAGTTTACGTCCTTGTCTCTTAGTGCAGCCGACCACGCAGCACGCTAAAACCATTTTACTGTCAAATCAACTAAATAAAAGCGATAAAAGGCTACAAACTGGCTTGTTTTGACCAGCTTCACTGGGGATTCTACAGGTGTAAACGGTATTTTTGCCGTCCGTCATGGCGAAGGGGGCGGTCACATGAGTGGCGTGAGGTCACGTGCAAAGGGTCAATACCCAATACTTTAACAGTCTCAAGTTGCTTTTCTCTCTAAGGCTGCCCCGTTCCTCCAGGAGGAATTCTTAGAGCATTACATGTCTGGATATGTTAAATAGATTATGTTTAATAAGTATTTCTTCACAAACAGAGGTGAGAAGTCAGGTCAGAGGGTCAAATTTTCATTCGTTAGGAAGCTTTTCCTTCTCTTGACATAAAAATACTTTGTGCCTTTAGGTAAATTCATGTAGTTTATCATTTATGATGTCTTAAAATACTAGATCATGTCTCACAAAACTGACCTTTAATAGACCCAGCAAGGTTTCTCAAACAAATCACTTATTATGTTGAACTGCTTTACTCACACTTTAACGCTCACACACATCTATCAAAATCAAGTCAATAAAGTTTATGAACAACTTCTCTTGACTGGTTCTGAATGTACCTCCAAACTGGTGTAGAAGCCCCCAGCTTCCTCATCCTGTTGTCCCAGCGTGGGATACAACCACACAAAGCCATTATTACCAAGGATTATAGATGCACCACATGGAAGATTGTGGAAATGTGTTTTCTGCCTCTTGATCAGAGAAGGAGAAATCTGGACCAGCACTCCTTGACCCAACTGACAGTCAAAAAGAATTGAAATAAGATTGAGATTAAAATTATTATTATTATTATTATTACTACAGATTATTTTCCCACAAAAGAAGCTTTTTTTAATTAGGAACGTGTTAGTGTAAAAATTAGTGGGATTACTCAGTGTCACTGTGTGCTATAACTTACTTTTCCATATTTTAAACTACGAGTGTGAAGTGAGAGTGCTCCATCTGAAAAAACAGACTGCACTTCTGCCTAAAAAACAAACAAAAGTTCAAACCCAGTCAGGAATAAAAAAAAACTGGTAGTAAAAGTTGATCATTTTGAATCAAATGTGTCTTACACTGATTAGATCGCCTTCCTGGATGTATTTTCTCATGGTGAGCTCGTCTTCTGCAGATCTTCGTCTCTAAAAGGCAAAATCAATCAGTTTAGCAAAAGTAAAAACAAAAATCTCAACCAAAACATATGAAGCTACGTTCTACTATCTCACCAGTTCTCCTCCAGGCAGATTGACAGATGACAATAAGAGGACCGAATCTAGTCTGGAGTTGGTATCCACCTTCCACCGCTTCTGTTGAACCTGAATTTGAAAACATCCCCATTCTGAAAACTCTTGATGAAAGTACTACATCTTTTTACTGTTTTTAGATCACAAAAACATTTGTTCACCTCCGTGATCCTGCCAACAACCACATCTCCAACCTCACCGTTAAATCTGTAATTCACATCAGAGTTATAGGACTGCATTTAGATAAAAGCAGGACACATAGCAAGTGAAAGCAGTGCAGAGGTAAATGATGTTTCATGGCTCTTAAATTAATGGCGTACCTGGTCTTTAGAGGTCTGACGCAGATTAGTTTGTCAACTCTTTGCACCTTTCCTGCAACTGAAGCCGTTAGTTTATCATCGTCGACATATGTTCCATGACCCCTGTGAGAAAACGAGGTAAAGTAATGGTTACCAGGCCTTTACTCCCAGGCTTCACAGTAGAACCAGTACCCACCTCATGAAACCTGTGTCTGAGGTGATAACATCGCCGGGAACTACCAAATCTTTCCGGTATACAGCGGGAGCCGACAAAGTCATTGTTTTTTTAACAGTCGGTAATCTCATGTCCACTGCCATGCTTGTTTCTTCTTACTTTTCCCGCTCGCGACAGAGTCCACAGGGCTTTACTTCTATGTGCACACTTAGAATAGTGAAGAAAATTTAAGAAAGGGTTTCCTCCCCAAAGTTAACAGTCGTTTAAAAACCAACTGGCTCAACAAGCTACAAAAATGGACAACAATATAACTATAACAGACCATGCATGTCTGTGATGCTAGGTAGCACACTCTCCTACTTCTGCTCTGTTACGTAGTTTGTGAGACCAGCTAACGCCCCCTACTGGTACGGAGTAAAAGCGACAGAAATTGATGTTTTGTTACTGCTCTCTTTCCGCCAAATAAAGATCAATGCAGTACTACTGACTCAGCCAGGTTCAGATTAACAAACAACTCAATAATAGCTAAATCATTCCACTTCTGTGATCATAAGATTCATCACAGTTTTACTGGTGGAATCTTATAAGCCCGCTTTAATTGTTAATTCAGGGCTTTTATTTCTTCTTTATCAATTTCACTTCCCTCAGTTTTTGTTTACTTTGCAGAATTTGTGATTTTATTAGGCAAGGTAAAAACATATTCCAGAAAAATATACAAAAACAGGATAATTAGGGTTGGACTTTTTAAATAAATTCAAATTTGTTTTCATGAAAGTTTGTACAAAAATATATAGCCTAGAAAACCATCAGATTGCACCCAGCCTTTACTTTGATTCATCCCCTGGAGCATGCATAGGTCAGACAACAGTGATGAGGAGGATTTCACACTTGGATGCAGACTCCTGGGGGTTGTTTCCTTTCTAGAGCTTTCTTAAGTTAGCTCAACAATACAGCCAAACATCAATTTTTTTCTTTTCATGTTTACAGATGTATGCCATTTAAATTAATACATTCTCAGCTCAATCCAGTATTTTTTCAACTGTAATTAATGTTTTGATGAGTTCTTAAAATATCTATAATCCCAATGCCATCCCTATAAGTTTATTGTGGACTCTTAAAAATACATATATATAGTATAATGCAAGATTATTTTTGCTTCAGCAATTGACGGTCTAGATTCTAGGCTAGGTCAGAATCTTTTTTATTGTTTTGCTCTCAAATTAATTTTTTCAAACACCCCAACACAGACTTATCTCTGCAAATAGCTTTGTTTTATGGAACTCAAAAGTATTCAAAATTCAATAAATAAATAAGACATTATGAAATAAATGTCTACATGAAGAAATACTAGACAATCATGTAATCTGACAATGAAATGATGAAATAACAGAATGTTATGTAAAATCTAAGTTCAATATTATGAAATATTTTTCATTCTTCTTTTAAAATGGCAGGTCACACCCACTGGTTTGACTGACGGACTGAGACATTCTGCTGTAAAGTCTCATTATGAAATAAATCAGCCATGGGAAAAAACACTATTAAAAAGACGTTATGTAATAAAAACTGAATGAATTAAATTAAAATGGCTCAATGATCATTTGGTTTATTATGAAAAAATGACTTTTGAAATAAAACTTTATATTAATAAAGATATTTTAAAAGAAGAAGGATTTCCTATTTCCACCTTCAGAATATTGCTTAGATTAGAAGCATCCTTTCCAGGAGTGATGCTGAAAAACTAGTTCATGCATTTATTACATCAAGACTGGATTACTGTAATACATTACTCTCAGGAAGTCCACAGAATATAGTTAAAAATATTCTGCTTGTCCAAAATGCTGCAGCTAGAGTTCTCATGAGAATTAAAAAGAGAGATCATATCTCTCCTGTCTTTGCTTCCCTACATTGGCTGCCTGTTAAATTCAGAATATATTTTAAGATCCTCCTTCTCACATACAAAGCTCTTAATAATCAAGCTCCATCATACATCAGTGATCTGATTGTTCCATATGTTCCTAACAGAGCACTTCACTCTCAGACTGCAGGTTTACTGGTGGTTCCTAGAATATCTAAAAATAGGATGGGAGGCAGATCTTTTAGCTATCAGGCTCCTCTCCTGTGGAACCAGCTCCCAGCTTTAGTCCGTGAGGCAGACACCTTGTCTACTTTTAAGACTAGGCTTACAACATTTTTATTTGATAGGGCCTATGGCTAAAATCTGATGTTAGCCCAGATTGGTGTTGGTGTGTGCGTGTGTCTGCTCTGTCTTCTCGATCCCCAGTGAGTCGTGGTGGATGGCTGCTTATACTGAGTCAGGATTCTCTGGAGGTTTCTTCCTGTTAAAAGGGAGTTTTCCTCTCCACTGCCGCTTTATGCTTGCTAAGTATGAGGATTGCTGTATAGTCACTGACACTAGTCAGTGACTCGATGCAATTTGCTGGGTTCCTTATATAGGAAACATTATTTCTGACTGGCTTAATGAACTGACCTGAATTGGAATGTTTATTATGTGAAGTGCCTTGAGACGACTCTTGTCGTGATTTGGCGCTATATAAATAAACTTGAATTGAATTTAATTGAAAAAATATTTCATAATATTGAGCTTAGATTTTACATGACATTCTGTGATTTCATCATTTCATTGTCAGATTACATGATTGTCTAGTATTTCTTCATGTAGATATTTATTTTCTAATGTCTTATTTATTTATTGAATTTATTTATTTTATAATGTCTTGTTTATTTATTTAATTTTGAATACTTTGTTCCATATTTTTATACATGAAAACAATAGATTATCAACAGCCATAAAATATTTGTCAAACGTATTTATATTCCTTCCGGTCATTCCATCGGTAATCTTTAATACACTTTATTTTTTTATTATTAGTTAAGTGAATCAGGGAATGTTATGTATTCTTGTGAATACTTCTCGTTATTTTGTTGACAAAAATAGCTGAATTGCAATACTATTTATTAATTAAGTCATTCATCCATTCATTTAACAAATGTGTCATGTGTCATTTTGGGGGTTTGGGGAGATAGCCAAAGTGGCCACTAGATGTCAGGCTCGAGCCACTTTGCACTCGCCGCATCGTTTCACATAGCACAAGAGTGACGTTCGATGTCAACACGTTTGCCCTGGCCAATCAGCATTGAGTTCATGGACTTGTAAAAATGGCTTCGGTGAGCCACAGAGGAGCGAAAAGTAGACGCTTAGCCGTTAACAAACACCCAAAAGGCTGTTAGCGGCACCGAAAACGAAAGTTAATCGATCTAATTCTAGGGTGTTGTTTTCTATTTGCGGTTTTATGGTGACGCCCTGGGTCTGGTTGTGTTTTCGGGTACTCTGTAGTTGCCTCGGACCGCTTATTAGCTTCAAGTTGAAAAGCCAGTGCTAGCCCAGGGCTAGCCGCGTAGCTTCATAGGCTGCTCGATCGTCTCTGTGCGGCATCTACCTACTGATAATCAAAGCGGCTTCCAAGCTGGTCTCAGTCCGAGTTATTTTCCACAGAAACAGCCGCTCATGTGTCACCTGGATTAAAAACTACCCGAGGAGGATCTGGCACTACCGGACTGTTCGGAGTGTCGAGAGCCAGGGAGTTCGCCGTCATGTATTTTCTAACCGGCTGGCCCCGGAGGCTGCTTTGTCCGCTGAGGAGTGCAGAAGAGCCCTTCTACATCCAGCCCAGCTCCCAGAGGTTTTACTTCGCCCTGTTGTCAGAGACACAACTCAGCATTTGGTTTAGTAGGGTAAGTTGTGTCAAACAGCTGTTAGCATCGCGCAACTCGCGATCAAGTCATAAACAATTGCTAGTAGTTCTCCGTTCACTTGAAGATGCTCTTTAAACTGTTTCAGCGACTACAGGTGGATTGTTTTTGCTACAGCATGGCTGTCCGGCTGCATTTAATTCTTTATAATCGCCTTTTGTTAACCGAGGTAAAAAGAGTATAGTGACTTTGGACGGTGAGAATCTCACCCGTATTTACATTGATGTGTTGGCAAATATTTCCACCTACATGCACCTGCCAAATAAATGGCAGGTGACATTGCCACGCGTCATCACAGAGTGCTGCATATCCTCACTCAGAACTGGCAGTTCCTCTTTCTGGCTAATCCCGAGCTCTCAGATAAAGGTTCATAGTTTACTTGTTTATCAGCAGAGAAGCCCCAATAGAGATCAAAACAAGCACTCACCTGCACCATGCTGATGAGGTAGTTTCTGTGTCCTAACAGTTAGGTTCACAATCATACATAAAACCAGTCCTCATTACATTTTTCACTTCATTCGTGTCCAGCTAATACACTTTTCAACGGGACGATCTCCGATCTTTATTCAAATGCTTTATTATTACAGACTTGTAAATCCACTTGAATCGTTTTTCATAGCTTCCATATTTCCTCACCTGAAATGTTTAATCTAGAAAAAGCCAACAAGAAACAAAAGAATTTAGGGTCAAAACAGGCTATGAAGATAAAAAGTGAGGGGGATTTTGAAGGATTCTGTAGCATTCCTGTGTCATGTTTCACACACTGCTCAACAATCCGTCACATTAAGTTGACAGAAATGTGTTAAAACAGCTCGATCTCTTCTGCATGTCAAATATATTCTGCTGGGAGGAGAAATTGGGTTTGTGTGCCAGACAAAGATGATTCCTCCTTGGTTGGAGGTGGTTAGAAGCAGATCTCTGAACAAAGAGCATCCCCTTGATGCAGCCAGAGTCCCGCTTCATCTACTCACACATTCATGAGTAATACAGTTAGAGAGATGTCCCGTTTTCCCACTCAGCACCCTCACCATATTGTTGGGAAGCGCACTAAGCTTAGCTACATCATGTCACTTCCCACTCAACACATGCACACCATTTTGGCTCTGTGACCAGCAGCTTTACCAGCTTAGATGCATCAACTTGAACCCCCGTTCCACCTCCATGTTTTATGGAACGGGGTGGTGATGCACGTCCTTTCATGTTTGTAGGGAGCTATCACGTTTACGACTATACCACCACATTTTACTCCTTAGCTGTGTTGATGTTTTGTCTGCTTTTTCCTGACTGACTGACTGACTGACTGATCTGACATCACCTATAACAGAAATCATTCAGTAGTTTTCTGATTTCAAACTAAAATATGAACTTTTTACTTTAGATGCTAATATCGACATATTTACAAGTCAAGGAGAGGGCTATTTAACCAGCGTCTTAGTCCCTGAGAGCTGTGCAAATAATAAAGGCAAATTAAAAGCTCTAGTGTGTTATAACTTAAAATAAGTCCTTGTTTTCATTATTTGTCAAGAGAATTTCCGTCAGCAGCTACAGAGAGGTTATTTTCTTCTAGATAGCACAGCTCATTGTTTATACCGGTCTGTGTTTTCAGTTGTATGTATATTTCTGAGATGTAATAACAATGGATGAGGGTTGCAGCTAATTTCCTGATCCGCGCACAGGATGTGAGAATATTTAGTTTCCTTTCTTTCCTAAGAGCCTCTCTGCCTGCAAGAACCCTCTCTGCCTGCAAGAACCAATCAGGAATGTTGAAAGAGGAATTTCTCAGAGATGTGGCTCGGAGGTATTCCCACCGTTTGCTGCACAGGGACTTAAAGAATGCTTGTTACTAAAAAAATGTAATCAAAACTGTAATTTTGCAAATATAAAAATTTTATTACATCTGTTAAATATGATCTGTAAGGGCTTTAAGAACTCATCTATAAGTGATTAGTCCAAATCAAGCTTCCTGATGTTCTGTTGTTTGTTTTTCTTTATGAAAATTATATTAGGTCTCTTGTGTGATTTGATAAATCTCCTCTAAGCCATCGGTTTGCCTCAGATTTGGTTATTTTCGATCTGATCTACCCTCAGATGCAGCCTCCATCCAGACCACAGCTATACACTGTTTTGTCTTTTACATTTGGCTCGATGCTAAACACACATTTTGTGTTTGAAAAACAGCTGATAGAAATGGTTTGTTTCTGTCTGAGAAGTTTTTCAGCCTGTCATGCCAACTGTGACTGCATGTGGCAGTTGTGGTGCTAGATAGGGAATGCTAGACTGCAGACAGAACATTATAAGTGTTTATGTAAACATATTTAGCACTCAGTGAAACGTGTCGGGTCGTGGGGGCAGCAGCCTAAGCAGGGAGGCCCAGACTTCCCTCTCCCCAGCCACTTGGGCCAGCTCCTCCGGGGGAATCCTAAGGTGTTCCCTGGCCAGGGGAGAGACATAAAGAAAGAAAACAATATTTTATATAACCTCTCAAGATAAAAATCATGAAGCGCTTTACAAAAACAAATTTTTTTTAAATATATTTAAAAAAAGATTTCAAACAATTATTAAAATATTTTTTTAATGAACAAAAAAGTTTAAATTGTGATTAAAGTTGTAAGAACAGGGAGGAAGAAAAATAAATAGGAAAGAGATTAGTCAGTGGATCCCAGGAAAGTTGGAAAAAGTAGAAAGAGCAGAATAAGGAGAGGGTGGTGATGAAGGTCACACCAAAGCTTGAACAGGTGCAGCTGCTTTTTAAAGGAGACCACTGAGTCCACTGATCTCAGGCTCAGGGGGAGAGAGTTCCAGAGTCTGGGGGCCACAGCAGCAAATGATCTGTTACCTTTGGTCTTTAGCCTGGTGCTGCACAACCAGTAGACTTTGGTCACTGGACCTCAGGGACCTGCTGGGGGTGTAGGGACTAAGAAGATCACCAATGTAAGATGGTGCTTGTCCATGTAAGGCCCTATAGACCAGAACCAGGATCTTGAAATGAACCCTGACATTGACTGGCAGCCAGTGAAGCTGGAGGAGAAGCAGGGTGATGTGGGTGTGTTCGGAGGACTTGGTCAGAAGCCGAGCACAGGCATTCTGAACCACCTGTAGACAGTTCAGGGAGGTTCTGCTCATACACGTGAAAAGAGAGTTACAGTAGTCTAAGCATGAGGAGATGAAGGTGTGGAGAACTGTCTCAAGTTCAGAGCGGGACAGAATGGGACTCAGCTTAGCAATGTTCCTCAGATGGAAGAAGAAAGAGCGACCAAGAGAACTGACATGAGAATCCAGGGTGAGAGCTGGGTCAAAGGTCACACTAAGATTCCTGACAGTGGTTTGGTGTGAGAAGCAAGCTGACCAAGTCTGACTTTGGGAACCAGCTTGTCTGGGGTACAGATGAGGTTCATATCTTCTTTCAGCTGTAGAAAGTTCCAACCCATCCAGGTCTAAGCTGGAGTGTAACAGCTGCATTGTAGACATCTCATGGGACATTGTCCTTCCAACGTGTCTTGGGTCTTCCTTTTGGTCTCCTCCCGGTTTGACGTGCCTGGAAAACCTCACCAGGGAGGCGTCCAGGAGGCATTCTAACCAGATGCTTGAACCACCTTAATTGGCTCCTCTCAATGTGTAGGAGTAGCAGGTCTACTCCGAGCCCCTCCCGGATGACCGAACTTCTCACCCTATTTCTAAGGGAGAGCCCCGCCATCCTGAGAAAACTCATTTTGGCTGCTTAGGTCCGTGATCTCGTTCGGACAAAACGACCCAAAGCTCGTGACCAAAGGTGAGAGTTGGAACGTAGATGGACCGGTAAATTGTGACCTTCACCTTTTGGCTAAGGTCTCTCTTCACCACAACAGACCACATCACCAATCCACCATTTTTTCTTGCAGTCCATCTTTCCTTCACTCGTGAACAAGACCCAGAGATACTTAAACTCCTCCACTTGAAGCAGGACCTCATCCCTGACCCGGAGGAGGTATTCTACCCTTTTCCAATCCAAGACCATGGTCTCAAATTTAGCAGAGCCAATTCTCATCCCAGCTGCTTCACACTTTGCTGTGAACTGCTCCAGCGAAAGCTGGACATCACAGTCTGATGAAGCCATCATGACCACGTCATCTGCAAAAAGCAAAGACCTGATCCTCGGGCCACCAAAACGGATCCCCTCAACATCTTGGCTGCACCTTGAAATCCTGTCCATAAAAGTTATGAACAGAATCTTTTTAAATCTAGGCTGAAAACACATTTATCTAAGGCTAACTATGCAGTGTAATTGTGATCCAGTGATGGCGTTATGCTGGTTGTTTTTAATTTGGTGGTTTTATTGTGTTTTAATGGTGTAATTCATTGGGTGTTAGAAAGGCGCCTGAAATAAAATGTGTTGTTGTTGTTGTTGTTGTTATTATTATTATTATTATTTAGTATCTGTGATAAAGGGCAGCCTTGGCGGAGTCCAACTCTCACCACTGCTGGCAATGTGGACCAAGCTCTGACACCGGTCACATAGGGACCTGTCCGTGTCAGATGGCCTGGTACCCCGTACTCCAGAAGTACCCCTCCAAGGGGCTCGGTCGACCGCCTTCTCCACATCCACAAAACACGTGTAGAGTAGTTGGGCGAACTCCCACACACCCTCCAGGATCCCCCTAAAGGAATAGAACTGGTCCAGTGTTCCATGGCCAGTTGTTATCTGCTAATTGCTTAATTAATATTCTTTATTGGAAGCTATTTAGGCGAATTTTGTGCAGAACGCACCGTAAACTGTGGAGTTGAAGCAGATCTGATAGCTAAAAATTCCTATTGGTCACTTTTGATGCTGATATGAAAAATGTCATAATGGTCAATAATACAAGCTGAACAATGCATCAGTCCAGTAATACTTGAATAAGCACTGAACTCATTGTTATGTTTAGAGAAAAGGTTTTAATTCTTGGAAACCAGATCTTATTGAACATGGTAGTGATACAACTATAATAGGAGACTGGTTTCAGGTT